CCTCCTCCTCCTCCTCCTCCTGCTCCTCCTCCTCATCATCCTCCTCCACCGCCTCCTCCTCCTGCTCCGCCCTCCCCCTTCCTCCCCCCCCCTTCTGCGGGGGGGGGTTCTCTTCCCCCCTCCCGCCGGGAAACCTCTGGGGCGCCCTGGGGCTTCCGTCCTGGGTTTTCCCTGGGTCCGTGCTTCGCTCCCCGGGGAGGGGAAACTCTGGCTCTCGAAGCGTCTTCGGCGCGCGCGGCCACTGGCGCACTGGTGGGGAACCCCCGAGCGCCCCTCGCGTCGTTAACAAAAGCGCGACCTCATTTTTGTTTGATAGTTCTAGGCCTCTGGGGGCCCTCGCCGGGCCCCGGGGCCGTCAGAGCACGGCTCGGGAGAAGGAAGTCGCCTGGGGAACTGGGTCGCGACCTCGGAAGGTCGACGTTGCGAAAACGTAACGACGTCGAAGGTCTGAGGTTAGGGGGGGGTCTGTGATTCCAAGGCCGCCTGTTGTCGTGATTCGCGCTGCGCGAGACGCGCATCAGTTCGCGCTTTCGCGCTGCCCACCAGGGGATAAGGGGAGGACGAGGAGGACGAGGAGCTGCACCGCGAGAAGCGAAGCGCGAATCACTTCGCGCCCTCGAGGGAGCCCTTGGGGATGGGGGAGCAGGAGGAGGGTGAGAGGGAGGTGCAGGAGGGCCAGCGGGAGGAAGGAGGAAGGTAGATGCGGATGGCGCAGAGGAGGATGGGAGTGGGACGGGGGGTGGGAGGGGCAGGAGGTGGAGGCGGAGAGGAAGACGTGGATGGTATGTGTGGGAGGAGGAGAGAAGCATTTGCCAAGTTGTTCACGAGCCACACTGGACTCTCGAGAGGGACGACGGCATCGGAGCGTCGCGGCAGTCCAGGAGCGCGCTGGGGCGTTCTGGGATCGGGGGTGGAGGAGCACGAAAAGGAGGACTATTTCCTGGGCGATTTCCTGTCTGCGAGAGGGGCCTTTCTCGAAAGGGGCCCTAACGGGGGTGCGCTATCTTATAATCCCCGCTCCGCGGTAGTTCTCAGGGTGCTGAAACATCTCGTTTGGACGTTTGGAGCTCGAGAGCCAGCGGGCCAAACGCCCACTCCGAAACAGGGGTTTCTCGTCGACCTCTGTAGGCTTTCCTCCCGAAGCGGTGTGTTTGACACCCCTGGGGCAGAGAGAAGGCCTTCGGTGGCCGAAAACAGCCAAGATAGAAGAGGAACAACCAACAGAAACACAGTGAAACTTGAAGGGACCCTGGGACACACAAATCATTAGAAACAAATAACAGGATTCCCAATAGTTTCCCATATTTTCTGAGCTTTTGTCTTCCCCCCCCCCGCTTCCCATATGTTCCCATATTCCCCCCAGTCCCCTGGGAGCTTTAGCTTTAAGTTTTAGCTTTAGCTTAGCTTTAGCTTAGCTTTAGCTTAGCTGTAGTTTAGCTTTAGCTTAGCGTTTCGCTTAGCGTGTCGCTTAGCGTTTCGCTTAGCGTTTAGCTTAGCTGTAGCTTAGCGTTAGCTTAGATTCAGATTAGCTTTAGCTTTAGCTTTAGCTTAGCTTTAGCTTAGCTTTAGCTTAGCTTTAGCTTAGATTTAGCTTAGTTTTAGCTTAGCGTTTCGCTTAGCTTTAGCTTAGCTGTAGCTTAGCTGTAGCTTAGCTTTAGCTTAGCTGTTGCTCAGCTTTAGCTTAGCTTTAGCTTAGATTTAGCTAAACTTTAGCTTAGCTGTGGCTTAGCTTTAGCTTAGCTTTAGCTTAGCTTTAGCTTAGCGTTACTATTACTACTAATGCTGCTTTCCTAGGGGTTCCAACTCCTAGGTAGGGTCGCACTGGAATAATTTTCTGGGGAGTCGACGATTAATTGTGTCGATGTGTTGGTTCCCCTCCTGATGATGGCGCTCCGCGCGGACTTCTTGGATCTGCGCTGCACCCCTCTCCCTGGCGCGCGGAGCGCGCCAGGGGCGCCGCCAGAGGCGCCGCCGGAGGCGCCGCCGGGGGGCCCCAGCACGGATCCAGGAGACCCGCGCGGATCGCTAAAAATCTATGCTCATGGCATTGTTTCTTCTTCGACAGAAATGACCCGCCGTGATTTGGTCACGACGCGGGCATGTCTGGGAGGGTTCGTACCCGCCTCTACTCCCCTCCCTCCTCCTCCTCCTCCTCCTCCTCTTCCTCCTCCTCCTCCTCCTCCTCCTGCGTTCGGATCAAGCATTTTCGAGGACGGTCCCGCCGTGGCGTCGAGGGCTCTCCAGGTACGAGCAGTGGCGTCGGACCCTGTCTCTTCCTCCTCCGGCACGGAGGGCCCGACGGCCTTCTTCGCGGTGGCCAGCGGGCAGACGACCGCGCCGTCGCCAGCCTCGACGACGCGCACGAGCCAAGAGCTCTCGGCGGCGTCCACGCCGGGCGCGGCCTGCGAGATGAGCACCCAGCCGCCGACCTGCACGCCGAGCGCCGCCCTCATGGGAGGGCACCAGCTATACGCCTGCACCCACCCTGGCCAGGCCCCTCCTGGGCCCAGGAAACTGTTTCTGCGATCCTCTGGCGCGCTTTAGGCCTTGCCCAAAAATTCGAGGCTCCGACACAACCTGGAGCGGCCGGGTTTGGGACGATTTTCGGCCTCCCGGGGCGCTCGACGGGCCCCAAGACTGTCAACAGAAACTACCCAGGATGAGGAAAAGGCCCTACAGGAAGTGGTCCAGACCTTAAGGCATCCACGCAACGGAACAATTTGGAACGCTGGGTGTCTGGGTACCCGGGCCAAGCCCCTCCAGCCCCCCCTCTCCCCGGGGCACGGTAACGATCGTGGGTGGGGGGCCTGGACCCCCCCCCCACACCGCCCCGACGCGCCACACTCAACTGGTCCCCGCTTCCCCCCCGGGTAAGAAACAGTACCCGCAAGAATGCAAAGACGGTCTGCAGGATCGTTGTGTACGACCTCCTGGCTTGGGCAGGAATGCATATGCAGATCCAGACATGCAGCGCTCCGTTTTTGTTCGACGCGTGGGCCCCATAGAGGTCTGGACCACTTGCCTATGCTGATATATATGTATATATACATATAGATGTATGCATGTATGCATGTATACACACACGCACGCACGCACGCACGCACGCATGTATATATGTATGTGTGTATGCATGGATGTATGTATGTATGTACGTATGCATGTATATATGTATGTGTGTATGTATGTATGCATGTATGTGTGTATGCATGTATGCATGTATGTAGGAAGTAGGTGTTTATGTATGAATGCATGTATGTATGCATGTATGCATGCATGTCTATACGTATGCTTGTAGCATGTGCGTATGTCTGTATGTATGCATGCATGCATGCATGCATGCATGAGTGTACGTATGCATGTATGTAAGTACGTGTGTGCGTACTTGTATGTATGTATGTATGTATGTATGTATGTATGTATGTATGCACGCATGCATGTATATGTAGTTATGTATATATGTATGGGTGGATGTATGGATGGACGGACGGGTAAAGTGATGTATGGATGTATGTGCCTGTATGTATGTATGCATGCATGCATGTGTACGTATGTATATGTATATGCATGAAGACATGCATGAATGAATGCCTGATTGCATGTATGTATGTATGTATGTATGTATGTATGTATGTATGTATGCATGCATGCATGTATGTATGTATGTATGGATGATGCATGCATGCATGTATGGAGGTATGCCTGTATGCATGTATGTATGTATGTGTGTATGGACGTACATACGTACCTACGTACGTACGTATGTTTGTATGTATACAGGTATGTGTGTATGCATGAAGGAATGTATGAATGTATGTATGCACAGATATGTTGTATGCATAAAAGTATGTAGGTAGGTCGATACGTATGCACACATGTATGTATGTAGGTAGGTAGGTAGGCATGCATGTAGCTATGTATGTATTTATGGATGCATGTGTATATTTGTATACAAAGGAATGTTCCATCCTGAGTCGTTGTTTGACGGTCCTGGGTCCCGTTGAGCGCCCCGGCAGGCCGAACAGTGCCCCAAACAAGCCGCTGCAGTTCATGTCGAAGCCTCGGATCTCTGAAATATCTACACCAGTCCTGGGCCCAATATCGGCCTGGCCATTCGGACGCCCGAAAGGGGTACGGAAGAAAATAGGTTCGATGCCCAACGACAAATGTTGTCCAAAACAAGCAGCGGCCGCTGTTCGGCAAGCGGCCTTCTGTCCCAAATGACAGCTTCCGCGGCGACGCCGGCAACGAGCCCTGTTCGAAACGGATGGGAGCTGCTGTCAATTTTCGCCCCCGTTCTTTCCGTGCCCATCTCGATCGCACCGAGGCCAGGATCGGTGCAGGTGGTACGGTTGGTGCCCTCCGACCTCACGTCCTCCGACGGGCACGCCTCTCGGAAGGTGTCGCGCTGCCCCTGGGCGTCACCCAACCGATCCCTACATGCTCTGAGAGATCCTGACGTCGCTTCTTTTCCTAACCGGGCCATCCTGCCCTGCGTCATACCGACCCATGCCCCGCGCGTCGTGGACAGAATCACGACGAGGGCTTTTATATATTCTCGGCCTCCATCAAGAGGGCCCTCGCCAGGCCCTACAGGACCGTCAAAGAAGGACCCGGGATGAAAAACCAGCCCCCGGAAAATGGGTCGAGAATGCGCACGGGGTTACAGTTAACCCGTGTAATAACGATGCGCGATAAGGATGCAAGGGCCGTGGAGGGCCATGTCGACACTCAGCGAAAGCGGTCAAGGACGGGCCGAGGAGGCAAGGGTGCACGGGTACCCTTGGGAAGGTTGCCCATCCTTACTATTGAAGGGGCCCTGGGACACACACGCACACAAATACACACAAATAAAAAGATCCCCCATGTCTTCCCATATGTTCTGGGTTTCTGTCTCCTCCCCCCACTTCCCATCTTTTCCCATACTATCTGGGGGGTCGACGACTCATCGTGTCCGTGTGTTTTTGCTTCCCTCCTGATGTGTAGCAGCGGCCCCCGAGATCCTGGCGCCGCAATTTGCTCTCCCGCTGCGCGGCTCTGCCCTGCTCCGGGCCCCGGAGACGGATCCGGCTCGGAACCTGCCCTATAGACATGTGGGGTCCATAGGCTGAAGTCGGGCCTGTCCCCCTACAGGGGGGATTTTCGACAAAAAATAAACAATACCCCCAAAATAATAATAAAAAAAAAAAAAACAATCCAAAAATAGTCTGGGGACTATGTTTTGAACATTTTTGTAGCTTTTTGGAACATTTTTGTGAGGTATCTTTTATTTTTCGGCGAAACTCCCCCTGTAGGGGGACACGCCCGACATGAGTCTAGGCCCCCTGTCGCGATGTCTTGCGATGCTGCACTTTTTTTCGCCACGGCGGGTCTCCGGAACCGATCCATATCCCCACCGGCGTGGCCTTGGGCCTTGACCTCAGGTGGTCGTCGTCGTCGTGGTCCGTGGTCCGTCGTCCGTCGTCGTCGTCGTCGTCGTCGTCGTCGTCGTCGTCGCCGTCGCCGCCGCCGTCGCCGCCGTCGTCGTCGTCGTCGTCGTCGTCGTCGTCGTCATCTTCCGTCGTCGTCGTCGTCGTCGTCGGGTTTTGCAGGGCCTATACATGCGATGCCCTGATTTCGTCAGATACGACCGGTCTTTCGTCCTGAGTCGTTTTCTGACGGTCCCCGGGCCCGGCGAGCCTGCGTCCC